TTCTTGCAGGTTTTACAGCAGACAGAGGAAAAAAAAATCCACTAAAAGGCAAGATTGAAACTCAGCTCAGCCCAATTTTATTGTAACTGGTGTTGATCCAAAACTTCTATTGTCTCGCCCAGATCATTTTACTTTAGCCTTATTTAAGCACAACACAATTTTGGAAAAAAAAAAAAAGTATTCAGATAACAATTAACTCAGCCCTACGTGTTTACACTGAGATTCCTTACATAGTACACCTGGCTTCTTTCACAAGAATGGGTACTGTTGACTCAGAGATAGTGCCCAAGATTTAGGGCGCTTGACTGAGATAAACATAATGCCTGTGGGTGTCAGGATCACCTGGCCTGAGAAAACATAGAAGTCATTCAGGCTGTTGTAAAGCCCAAGCGACATCACTCATAAGAGTGGATTTTATGATCTAAAAGCAATGCTCAAGAATTACAGGAAAAGGTCTTGGATCAATAAAAACATAAACTCTGGAAGCTAAGGGCAAAGCCTATCTTGTCAGACAGCAAAGGATCATCAGGTTGTAAAACCTCACTCGGTCTTAGTTTGTTCCTTTCTACAACAAAGATAACTGTCTTCTGTAAGGTTTAATCAGAAGGTATATTGATACCCTCAGAATGGTGCCTCAGAAGTCTTCTTCCTCCACGACCTCTTCATCCTCTGTTGTTAAAAGCTAAACCGTACCTTCGTGTATTAGTTCTTTTTACTAGATTGCAGTGTGATCTTGAGTCATTATAGCCCCCCCCTCCCTTTTCCTTTGTATTTTGTTTTTGAGACATGGTTTCTTTGTGTAGCTTTGGAGTCTGTCCTGGAACTTATTCTATAGACCAGGATGACTTTGAACTCACAGAGATCCGCCCGCCTCTGTCTTCCCAGTGCTGAGATTAAAGGCGTGCGCCACCACTGCCCATAGTTTCCCCCTTTTTAAAACAAGCTGGGCGTGGGGCTGTACTGCTGTGATTGTAGCCAGGGAAGGCTGAGGAAGGAGTTCCATCGTAGGCTACAGAGTGAGTTCAGCAGAGCGCTGGCTTCATGTGAATGGAGCCCTGGGTGACATCCCAAGCCATGGATAAACTGGGTGCGGTTCAATCCCTTGTACCGCAGGAACTAGACATACACTGTATGTAATGATGTACTAAATTCTGCTTTATTTGTCTCATATATCTGTGTATGTACATGCATATATGGGTGGGGGAGGAAAGAGGCGTGAAAGCAGGGAAGAGTATTCTACAGAAGGAAGGAAGAGAACTGGGAAGATGTGGAAAGAAGAAGCAGAGGAGGGCAGTGGGTGGAAGTATGAGCAATATATATATGTATATATGAAAATGTAACAAAACTCATTATTTCATTCATAAATTAGAAAAATTAATTAATGAGGATGTAGAGTTGAACTAGATGCATATGTCTCTAAGCTTACAAAGACAATTGTGGTCTCAATGTTTAATTTTTCACTGCTTAGTATTGTTCTTTAGTGTTCTTGCATTTCTGCTTGCCTATTTCTGATAGGTAGAGACGACAGAGATGTAGCCTTTTGACCTGTGCTAGCTCTGACTTTAGAACTACATGCTTCTGAGGCAGTACCCCTCGCCCCATATGTCTACACACACGCATGCACGCGTGCGTATGCAAATATAAACCCGTAGGAGGATATTTTTTGTATCTTGCTATGGCTTTTCTCAAATTTAGCAAATTTCTGTTCCCTTTCTGCTCCTCCTGGAGGGGACTACTTATCCAATCTCTACGTCTCAGCCCAGCAATCCCTATAGATAGTAGAATTAGATGATCCACTTCACTCACCACTGAGCTGTCAATCTGACAAAAGTAACTATGTCTGTTTGCTTGCTCCAGAGTCATATCCTTGATACCTTACAGTGCTGGGCATAAGCAATTGATAAATATTTCTTGGTTTTGTTTTTGTTTTCTGAGATAGGGTTTCTCTGTAGCCTTAGATGCCTGACCAGGCTGGCCTCGAACTCACAGAAATCTGCCTGCCTCTGCCTCCTGAGGGCATCTGCCACCACTGCCCAGCAAAAATTATTTCTTTTATATGCATTGATGCTTTGCCTGCATGCATGTCTGTGTGAGGGTGTCAGATCCCCTGGAACAGGCGTTACAGTCTTGAGCTTCCATGTAGGTGCTGGGAATTAAGCCTAGGTCTTCAGGAAGAGCAGTCAGCGCTCCTACCTGCTGAGCCATCTCTCCAGCCTGAGAAATATTTCTAATATTGATCGTTACTACCTATATGCAGTGGAATTTAAAGTCACTATCCATTTTACTTATTTTCAGATGGGTGTTACACTTACCTGTAATTTCAGCATTAAGGAGTTGGAGGCAGAATTAGCAATTCCAGGACAGCTTGTTGAACATGAAACCCTAGCACAAAACAAAAATAAAGGGCACATTATATTTTAGAGCTTCCCGATTTAAAAATATAAATTATAACCCGGAGTTCACTGATTTTCTAAAATAAGTGTTGGTTTGGGCTAGAACAATACTTCACTGGTCTTAGTTTTAAGAATTCTTTTCCATCAAACTCTGGTTGTCAATATCGTCTCCTTCCAAAGAAAGCAAGCTGGCTTTTGCTGAGGAGATTATTAAATGAGACCACCAGTATGTAATTAGTTAGTACTTAACTCTTTTTTTTGGGGGGGGGGGGGGGGACAGGGTTTCTCTGTAGCTTTGGAGTCTGTCCTGGAACTAGCTCTTGTAGACCAGGTTGGCCTCGAACTCACAGAGATCCACCTGCCTCTGCCTCCTGAGTGCTGGGATTAAAGGCGTGTACACCATTGCCTGGCCCCCACTTAACTTTTAACTTGATAAAAGTGAACATTTGGGGGGGGGAGTTACTATATAAGGATTGCAAGGTCTGAGTTTTTGATCTTCTCTCACATTAGGGAAAGCAGGGCTTTTTCTTAGATGTATCTACCTCTATCTGTCTGTCTGTCTGTCTGTCTGTCTGTCTGTCTATCTACCTACCTACCTATGTTTCTATTTTTGTGGTATTTCCTGAATGCTAGTGGCAAACTCAATCCCTAGCATCGGGCTACATTCTCAGCCCTCTTATGTTTAATTTATTTGACACAGCGTTCTTCTATGTATCCAAGGATGATCTGAACTTGTATGGATCCTCTTGCCACTCCCTGTCTCCTGAGTGCTGTGGATAGGTGTGTGTCACCAAGTTCATCTTCTCCCATTAGACTTATTGTAAAAAGATACCTTACAATAATAATGTACGAGTTTCCCTAAACCTAGCCCTTATTCTATCACCATTTAAAAAAAGCTTTAAAGTGTGTTTTCACCTTAGCCTCCAGCTCCCTAGGTAGCCCAGGATGACCTGAAATTTCTCTCTCGTTATCTCCTCAGAGCTGTCACCTGTGCCCAGTTCATGAGACGCTGGAGATCAAATCCAGGGTTCACATATGCTAGACAAGTAGATCCGGCTGAATTAAATTCCCAACACCTATGTTCTGTTCACTAATAATTGACTTACACACATATTCTCTGATTGGCTGATTCACACTGGCAACCTGCCCCCCACCTGTGGATGTCAAAAGAGGGGGGCTTATCCCAGCTTGTCTGTAGCTCTTGGAACTGAAGGCAGAGCTGCGTGAAAATCGGGTCTTAACTAGTGCGGTGTCTAAGTAGTTGGGTGAAATGAGACCTGTTTTTTTTGTTTTTCGAAACAGGGTTTCTCTGTAGCTTTGGAGCCTGTCCTGGTCTTTTAGACCAGGCTGGTCTCGAACTCACAAGGATCCTCTTGCCTCTACCTACCGAGTGCTGGCATTAAAGGTGTGCGCCACTACCGCCCGACCGAGACCTGGTTTTATATTGTTGACTTTTGTCACCTCAATTTGTCCAAATTGCAACATTTAAATTGTACAGAAACGTTTCCTTGGTATCTCTTGTGAAAATGATTTGGAGTTAATATAGGTTCAACTGATTTGACTATTACCTAGCATAAAGAAAGCACGGCTTATGTACTGTCTGTATTGATGGTAATGCAGGATGGCTTCGCTAGAAAGAAGCTACTGAAAAGCTCTTCCTCTGAATATCAAGTTGCTTTCTTCTTGGTGCAAACTGTGTGTGTGTGTGTGTGTGTGTGTGTGTGTGTACTATAGAGAAAAAAGCCAAGGAGGAATATCTAAAAGCCAGCAGCCTTTCTCCCCTTATCATAAGGATGTAAATCATGTGGAAGGATCCCTAGTATTGAGTGTTTGCTTACAGCATGCTAGGGCCTGGGAGGACCGCGCCACACGATCTCCTGGAAGGCAGATGGTCTGGAGGGAAACCACCCTGGAGGCCATTTTCTTCTCTGCGCTAATGCGTATTTTATTATTTATCTTATAGACTTTACGTGTGTATGTGTTTTGTCTGATGCAGGACAGAGCACCACAAGTATGCCCGGTGCCTACAGAAGCCAGGGAAGGGCAGGAATCCCCTGAAATGGAGTTAACGGCTGGTTGTCAGTCGCCGTGTGATTGCTGGGAATCGAACCGTGAGCCTTTGTACGAGCATCCTGTGCTAAACTGAGTCACAAAACCGGGATCAGTCAATTATCCGCCCGTTTCGCCCCACAGAACTCAGGAGGCGAGAAAGCGGCCGTGCCGGAAAGAGGTCACACCAAGTGTCCGGAAGACCCCGCTGGGCTGGCCTCCTCCAACGTGGTGCAGACCCCGCCGGGCCTCAGGAACCCGCAGCGCGCCGCCCGGCCCAGGCCCTCAGCCCGAGGCGACGGCGTCGACGTTCTCGCCGGGCGTGGCGCTCGCCCCTTTTGGCGGGCTCGGCGTCGCGAGGCCCCGCCCCCCGCAGACTTCTCCGCATTCGCGAAGGAGGGCTCTGCGTTCCCATTGGCGGAGCGGGTCCGCCAAGGCTCCGCCCCCTCCCGGGCCCGACGCGAGCACGTTGGTGGCCGGGGCGGGTGGGGGAAGCCGCCCAGGTCTGGAGAGGCTCTCAGACGGGGCCGAACGGCGCGCTGGGGCCGCCTTGACGTTCGGGAGGCGTCTGTGCGGGCGAGCGCGGCCCCCGGGGGCGAGCAGGGGAGAATCCGGCGGTGGGCCAGCCCCGCCGTCCTTTTCCCCCGCACGCCCGTCGACCTTGTGGGCGGAAGCTTCCCGGAGCTGCTCACGCTCGCGCCATGGCGACTGCTGCGGAGACCGAGGCCTCTTCGACGGACGAGAGCTGGGGAAGCGGCAGCGGCGGAGACGACGGGATGAAGCCAGCGCTTCCGGAGCCGGAGTCCTCGCCACAAGATGGCGGCGGTGGCTTCTTCGCCGCTGCGGAGGTCGGCGGCGGCGGCGCGGGGCCTGAGGAGACCGCCCGGAGCCACTGCCACGAGCAGCCTCAGCACGCTTCCGAGGCGGCCGCTGTCCCCAAAGGCGCCGAAGAGCCGGAAAGGCCCGTTAGGCGGAGTTTTCAGATCCCCAGGAAGAGCAGAGAAAAGAAAGGTGGTGCCTCCCCTCCTCCCTGATCCCCGACCCCTCTCTCTCTCTTCTCCCCCTTCATCTTCTCACTAGGACCTCTCTGTCTCCTCTCCCACACCCACCCGACACACGTAAACACGCACGCCGGCGCCGGTGCGAGAGGCGAGGGTGCAAGCACGCCCCGCCGCTCCCCCTCTCCCCGTGCAAGCTGGAAGGAGCTCAGGTTTGAAGCGCGTCCATAAGGCTGCAGCTCCCGGAGAGGGAAGACGGTGCTCGGCGCCCCTCCTTCCCGACCCCCCGAAGGCAGAGAAGCTGATGTGGCCTCCTAAAGATGCTTCTGAGAAGTCCGCTTGTGGAAGCAGCCGGTGGCCGTGGATTCAGAGGCTCTCCCCAAGGCTCTTGCGTTCTGAGGACAAGTGTTTCTCATTGTGGAAATTCTTCAGCCCTGTGTCTACTTGAAATGAGCTCAATGCCAGCGTCTTCTCTTAGGAAATCTCCGTTAGGATATAAGCTCCATGCCCAGTTTTCCATCACACTTCATTTCCATATAGTTTTTTTTTTTTTTAAGGCTTAGATTATGTAGGGGTCTCATGTTTAACTCCAAACTTACTATGGCTTTTGTACTTGAAAAGGATGGGAAGGTAGGTTCTCCGTGCATTAATTGCCCGGTGGAGGAAAATGAGAAGTTCGAGTTTGACCAAGAATCTCCAACTTCAGATTTCTACAAAGAATACGCTTAGTTTTTAAAATCAATATAGGAACAGGTACATTAGTTGTTTACTTTTTGAAATCTCAGTGCCATATTGTAAAACGTACAACACTTTTTTTCTGTTAGAGTAGGTTTTTGGAATTTCCTGGATTTGGTTTAAGTTTTCCCTTACCTTACTTCGTGTTACAGTTTTTTTTTTTTTTTTTTTTTTTTTTTTTTTT